CCATCAGTTTCACTTTACTATAATTTAAATAGGGTTTAATTTGTAGATTTTTTGTTTCAATATGATATATGATTTAGGACTATAAGGTAATTGATACGGAGACATGACTCAACACTACAGTCCGGCAATTGCCAACTATAACTATAGTATGGCGTTTTAAAAGAACGATGCTTTGCGTGCTATTTCCTGGGTTAACTAAATGCACTTTGGCTGCCAAAAAGCATACTACAGTATACTGCATGTCTACAAAATATAATTTATGCATGTGCATTGTTTAAGCACGCAACAGAACCAGGGGCAAGTCAGTGGGATTGAAGCATGTGCATTGAAATTTTTTTATCATTGACCATTCTTTTGTTATGTTAGGCATGTGTCAAGCATTTAAAACAATGTTTTTAAAATTTGCAAGATTCAGAACTAATTGGTCCCAAGCATGCGTAAACACAATCAGTTGACCCATTCGGAGTCGAACAGATAATTAGTTTTCTGCATTAAAAAACTTTGTGTTATTCTAATTTCCATCAACGAGGTTAATTAGAATGTATGTTCAAATCCCAGGAGCAAAATAAGTAGGCGTCATTGAAATACTAGTAAGCAGCAGAATTATGCAAATTATAGACTGTTTGCAGGTTTCTTGATACATCCTGTAGTTTTCGAAGTAACCTGGCTTTAATTTGACGTTCTTGGATGTAGTTTTGCTCCATGACCATGTTGTTCGGTATTCAGTTCTTAACGACTTTCCCTTCAGTAAAATTAAACGAAAGGCAATTTGGCGAAGAAGTATATTCAAGCGAAGCTGTTCTGAGCAGTTGTTGATGCACACGTACTATTCGCAAGATGTACTATTCGCACTGCTTGTTACAAGTTGTCAACAGGTTTGGAACAACTTGTTGACAACTTGTAACAACCTTGTCGAAATTATCAGACTTGTTGCAAGGTTGTTCTGACAAGTCCGTTACATGCTTGATATAACAAGATTGTTACAATCTTGTGTTGACAACCTTGTAACATCCTTGTTATATCATGGCTGTAACAAACTTGTTGGCACAGTCTTGTAACAAGGCTGATAATGTCATCAAGCTTGTTACAAGTTGTTAACAGCTTGTTCCAAACTTGTTACCACAAACTGGGAACAAGCAGTGCGAACACAACTTGTTGACTGCTTGTGAACAGGCTTGTAACAACTTGTTTGCAGACTTGTTACAAGCTGTGCGTTTTTACGCGTGTAGAGTAACGGCATGGAAGATAGATTAAAAACTAGTTCCTCATGTTTCGCGCACTCTCTCCTCCGCAGAGGCTTTAGCTCCTTCGCCCAGCGGCTACGCTCGTGTTCCAAGATCCCCCATGTAAAGTGTAGTGAAATGTATCTCATCATATAAATATTAACTGTCAGTCCATGAGAAAACCATGCAAAATCTGCAAAAAGCGAGTCAGGGGCATTGAACTAAAAATAACTGGAACGCTACGTTCAGTAAACTGCGCATGGAAATTTTGAAGCCAAAATTTGACTCCCATGAAGCCAGTTTTGACTCCCAGACACGCACTTTCACGCGTGTTTCTACTGCGCGATTTACTCGCGAGACAATGCAGGGGGCGATCGAAGCATGCCGTTTTGAACGTTTTCATGGCAAGATGCGAATCGAAAGGGAAACGGGCCTTTTATTTTAAAACGGGCCTTTTAAAGCCTGTGTACGACCTTGTATAAATTAGCTTCAAACTTCCGCTTGAACGTAGCGTTCCAGTTATTTTTAGTTCAATGGTCAGGGGTGGTTAACGGATTTTGTTCTTATTCAGAGGTTTTGGTCACCCATGTGGGCACATTCCATGGCCAAATGGGTTTGGCTCCCCTATCAATGGTTTTTGAGATATGTGGAAAAATCGATTTTTTTCTCTATTTTCGGCCATTTTGGCTAAAAAATAAGTCATTTGTCGAATATTTACTGTGTGTTAATGGGATGTTTGATGGATGTTCTGTATATTGTGTATATTAGGGCTGGTCTTCGTCTTTCACGACCACATGTTGAAAGTTCCACCTCTGGCCGCTAGCGGCTACACTAGTCCTATAAAGTTAGGGTATCTGGCACCACCCAAAATATACCCTAACTTTGCCCTGAGATGTAGCTCTTGCTGCAGGTTATGGGTCCATGGGGGATGTGGGCTTATGTAGAGGAAGACTAGCCCTATAAATCACAACCATAAAATTTTTGCCACCCCACTCCTTTTACTAGACACAAAGCATGAAATCGTCTCGAAATTTTGATATATACGATGAATTTTGGCATCGATGAATTTCGGCAATGGAATATAGTAGCACGACAGTCATTTTGGCAAAACAGTCCTGACAAATTATTTTGGAAGAATAACGCAGTCGGTCATAATTTATTTTTTTATATTTCAGCAGTAATAGTAATAGTCATGAGATTCATGATTTAGACTGGCCATGAATTATGAATGTTATGATGATTTGTCTGGATAAACAGAGGTGTAAATTTTGGAGAAAG